TACCAGCGGTGCAGCAGTGGGGACATCAGACAGTGGACAGCGCGGTAAAGTACGGTACCATTTACCGGTACACATTACAGTAAAGTACCATTACATTAAGCAGTGCCTTCAGGGGGACAGCAGTTGGTGAAGTATGGTAATGGAGTGCTCCCTGTCACTGCGCTGGCCTGAGGGAGTCCCCTGTCACCCCTCAAGTCCCCCCTCACATGCTACCGCCAAACTAGGTCTTATTTTCAGGGTAGGTCTTATATTACAGGAATCTTGAAAAATAGTGCTAGGTCTCACTTTCTGGGTAAGTCTTATTTTTGGGGAAACAGGGTATCTATTGGTATTCCCGAGTGTGGCTCGGGGTTAACAAATCGGTAACCCCGAGCCACACTCAGGAATACAGCGTAGGACTTACCTTGTCCGCGATCCCCGCTGTGTCCTCCGGCCGCTGCCGTCTTCCGGGTTCCGCCCCTTGCGAGCATCCGCGTCGCAGGGGGGGGCGGAACCGTCGCTAAAAACGGGCTTAAAAACCGAGCATAAAACGAGCCTATTTGGAACGCCCAGGTGTGAACCCAGCCTCAGAATCCTATATCGGGCAAGAATTGGAAAACATTCCTCTCCCAAAACTCCAGCAACTGGTCTCAGTTCCCAGATGTTTACAGAATGTTGTTAAAAGAAGAGGGGATGCTACACCGTTGGCCCTGTCTGAACTTTTTTGAGATATGTTGCTGCCGTCAATTTCCATATGACCATGTTTTTTTCTTAGAATGGTCCATTTTCTCAGTTTAAACATTTGAAGTGATTTCTAGTGAGAATAAAATCTGGGTTTATGAGATTGTGTAAATCATTGCATTCTGTTTTTATGTAGATTTTGCACAGTGTCCTAACTTTTTTGGAATTGGGGTTGTATATTATCTGTGTATTTAAAAGAGAACTATGGGGTAAGTGTTTTCCCCTACTAGTTCTCTTAAGGGTCACAGGAGAACACATACTAGTGTCCTCCCGTAACCCAAAGCTCAGTAAATCGAGAGCTGCAGCTCACGACATACTGAGACGCCGCAGCCGGGACGGATCCTGACATTACTGTTGAGATCCACCCAGCTGTGTGAGTGACAGCTGGCTCTGCCTATCTAGAAGCAGAGCCATCTGTACCTGCCCCCTCCCCGTCTGTTCCTCCACTCAGCGCTCGAGAATCGGACAGGGGATTGGGAGAATCCCTGCTGGGAGCCGTGAGTCACAGTCACGGCTCTCTGCAGGGAGATGATTGAGAAGTGAGCAAGCAACGTTATGTGTTCGCTCACTTCCCGATCTATTAGTTGTGTTGTCACAGGTCGGCTCGAACATTTAATGGTTTGTTTGAGCTTTGCTTTAACAAAGGCAAGAGATAGAGTTTAAAGTGATAGTAAAGTCAAAGGGTTTTTTTTTTTTTTTATGATGATGAAATCACTTACAATGGACGCCGCTCCTTGATGATTAATAGTTTTCGTTTCCTGCAGAATCAGCTGGTCCCCTGAGCACTGGCCCTGATATCCTGTTTTAGGCTTCTTTTCCTTGCAGGGTCCTCAGTCACCAGGGCAAGAGCTAGATAAACAATGAGAAGGTGAATGCTATCATTCCTATGTGCATCCGTTTTAAATATTTGATAAAAGTCTTCTTCCTCTTTCAGAAAATGTACATCTCCTACGTGAAGAACTGTAAATTTACATCTCCCAACGCCCTGCCAATGATCAACTTCATGCAGCGTACTTTAACCGAGATGTATTTGCTGAACATCCAGGCCTCCTATCAGCACATATTTGTATACATCAGACAGCTGGCAATTCACTTGCGCAGTGCCATGACTCTAAAGAAGAAGGTGAGATGAGAATTGGCAGTTCAGCTAATGTATGTCAGGGGCAGTTGATTCTGTCTGTCCATTTGCATTGTAGAGTTCCTGCGGTCACTGCAGTTGTTTGCAGCCAAGGTGCTCTTTCCCAAAGGCCTTGTCATTTGTGATTGTTGTACTCCTCTTACACTAGGTCGCTCTTTATATGCACTTCTGATATTACCATATACAGCAAATTAGTGAGGAATGTGTTGGAATAGTTATCTCTAGTAAATGCACGGCATCATTTCCTAAATATTCATTGTATGCATCCTTTATCAGAGCCGCACAGAAAAGCAAGCTGGTTCTTTTTTTTTTTTTGTCCTAAATACAGTGGTAACTCGGCTCATGACGGCTTCTATTCGCCAAAAATTCGGTTCGCGATCAGGAAGTTCTGCAAAATGTTGCTTCCGTTTGCGAACTCCGCATCGGGTGACGAACGCAACCGCAGCCATCTTCCCTGCTCTGACACATGGTCGTGGCCTCCTCCTAGTTGAGATCGCGGTCTGATCACAGTTTGATTCGGTGCGCGACCAGAATCGTGAAACGAATTAGGTTTACCACTGTAATTTGTTTCTGAATCGTTTGTGATACCGGCATAGATTTGGCAGTAGGCTCTTCTGTCCATGGAACTGGCAATGCTGCCACCTGCTGCACGTTATCAATGCATGCAATGAGTAACCCCTGTTACAGGGTCACTCCAACCCAAATTAATTTTGGTAAAGAAGGACTTAAAAAAATAAAATAATTAAAGTGATATTAATGTCAAAATATTTTTAATCTATTTCAAATCATGATTATATCACTTACTATGGATGCTGCTTCTAGATGTTTAAAACTTGTAATTTCCTGCAGAATCAGCTGGTCCCCTGAGCACTGGTCCTGATATCCTGTTCTAGGGGGTCTCCTTTCCCTTAGCAGGGTCCTATGGTGCCACCCTTGTGTGTGCTTGTAAGCTGTGTGTGTCATCGGAGCCGGCTGGCTGTTAGACAAGTCCTTCTAGCCTCTCTCCCCTTCTCTCCAGCTTTCTGAGGTCCTGTGAGTCAACACGTTCAATACGCTGTGTATTGAACATAAGAATGCAAAGGGTCATCCCATCACTGGAACAGAGGAGGAGACATGCTAGATGGGGTGCTCTAACAGGCACCTAGACACAAACTAGCGATTAGCCTTTGCAATGTAGGGGTAACCCTACTGCAAGGATTAAGATAAATGTTTTCTTTAAAGTTAGATTCTAGTGGGGCTTATAATATGCAAAATGAGAGAGCGCGAGCGAGAGAACACGTAAACCCAATCATGATAGCTGAACTGAGCCTTCCCTTCAGTCTTGCACAGTTACACTGACTTCTCTCCTGCACTGGAATTGCTTACTCTAATTTTACTGCACACTGCTTGTGTAGACAGGAAGTGCATTATTCACAGGATGAAGTGCAAATAAAGGGGGAAATACCTGAAAAAGAAAACTAATGCAGCCACCGCTTCTACAACTGAGACAATAATTTATTTTTAGTTGCGGCAGTAGATGAATAGGGGGCCTAAAGATTGTTCTCGCCCCGGGTCACTTTGGTGACTGTTGGATTGATCAGCATAAGCTCGAAGCATAGACATAGAAAATTATTGTTTTCCATGTGCCCTGTTCACAGCATGCATGTACTGTGGTGTGTGTTGCATACAAATGCAGCATGTCTGCATCTCTACACACACTGGCACACGTGTGCAATATACCAGAGCATAATGGATGCCTGCTGGTGTGAACCAGGCCTTAATGGTAACTAAAGGGAAGACCAGAGAGGGATGGATTGCCCATTTATCCCAATAGAAGTGTCTCGCCTTCAGCTCCCTCTAGTGGTTGCCAGGAACAGTTGCTTCGGTTAGATGATGGAGGTACCACAGCAATGAATAAGTGCTGAAAGCTGACTTATCCTGAGTCTATCACATTTTTTTGGTTAAACCCTAGGCAATCTCTTCGACTGAACGTTGTATAATTAAGAATTCAGATTCATTAAAAGCTGAAGGCTTATATGACCAGGAAGTTATTTAATTTGCGTTGGCATGTCTCAACTCTGCTTTGCGCTCTGCGTATGATTTTTATATTCAGACTTCATCTTGGGCATATTCATACATGTCCATTGAAATTGCAGAAGAAATCTAGAGGGGAAAATATAATGTATTTAATTAAAAGGTTTCAGGAGAACTTGTCAGGATAATGCCTTGAAGTCTCCTGTATGTGAATAACATGTTTAAAGGGAAATATAATGCATATTAAAGTGGGCATATATTTTAACTCACCGCTGCAATTTTTACCTTGCGGTAATTTTTGGTGTGACGTCTACCTTTTTTTTATTTTTTTATTTTTTTTTGCATGTTTGCTCTTACATGTTACATATTTACGTGTTAGCCCCGAGGCTGTCAACTTATGAGGTATAGGACAGCTCTAAAGAGCCAGAGATGATCTGCATATGTCAGAAGACTTTCTCATAGACTTCATACTATAGAAGAACATGAACATGCAGGAGACAGTCAGAGACTGGGGACATGCTCTGTAACACTGCTAGAGATCACTGACATTGCAGCTTCTTTTCAAATGAATGCTCCCACAGCACCAGTGCAGGTGGCAAAGGGCCGCATGTGGACCTCGGGCCGCAGGTTGGCAACTGATGTCCTAGCAACTACAAGCAGGGTAGATTGGCTACTAGTTACAATCAATATCAAATTGGCTGCTCCCTTTGGACATAAATAATTTATACATTGAAACATTCTTTTTCCCATATATAAGACACACTGATCAGATTTTATGGCTTGTTTACACCAGGAGCCACACATGGCTGCTGGTGTCCCTGTGCCTGTACAGTGCTGATGTGCTCGATTGAGCCACATTGCACTTTTTTTTGTTTTAGAACGTTATTGAAATGTCCTTTCATTAAGCTCTATGCACTTGTACACGGTGGTGACAGTAGTGTGAACTGTCCTCCTCTATCGATAATACGAAATCACCTGCACTCCATACAGCGTATAGACCTTGGATGAAAGGTTGGTGCTTGGTGACAGCACGGATGGCGCTATGTCCGTTACAGTCCATAATAGAAGTCATAATGACCACTGTGTCGCCCAGAAGAAGGGATCCTGCGCGGGCATGTGACGATTTAATAAAAAGGGCTTTACTTCTTGCACACCACATCGAGTTCTGATGACTTCTATTATGGACTGTCCTCATCTATGACGAGACAAACGGCAGATGGTGTAAACAAACCCTCAGGTCCCTGTCCATATATATCCATATATATATCCCATAGCCCCTACTTCATGATTTAAAAAGGAATCCTTGAAATTTTTTTTTTTTTTTAAATTATCTTGATTTAGGGCTCTGTCACATCATATCCAGTGCGTTTCTGGCGCGGTTTGAGTGCATGCACTATTTGTTTTCCTGATTTCACTGCATCGGAAGACATTCCTGTACCTCACGTTTTGGTGCAGGCGATCACACTGCGGGCGGGGGGACGTGTCTGCAGTGCCACTGACAAGAATGGCACCGTCACGTCTCCTCCCACCCCAGAACATGGCCCGGCTTGATGTATGCGATTCAGTGCATTGCAGGCTTGAACCGTGCCGGAACGCACAGGATATGCTGTGACAGGGACCTGAGGGTTTGTTTACACCATCTGCCGTTTGTCTCGTCATAGATGAGGACAGTCCATAATAGAAGTCATCAGAACTCGATGTGGTGTGCAAGAAGTAAAACCACATCGAGTTCTGATGACTTCTATTATGGACTGTCCTCATCTATGACGAGACAAACGGCAGATGGTGTAAACAAACCCTCAGGTCCCTGTCCATATATATCCATATATATATCCCATAGCCCCTACTTCATGATTTAAAAAGGAATCCTTGAAATTTTTTTTTTTTTTTAAATTATCTTGATTTAGGGCTCTGTCACATCATATCCAGTGCGTTTCTGGCGCGGTTTGAGTGCATGCACTATTTGTTTTCCTGATTTCACTGCATCGGAAGACATTCCTGTACCTCACGTTTTGGTGCAGGCGATCACACTGCGGGCGGGGGGACGTGTCTGCAGTGCCACTGACAAGAATGGCACCGTCACGTCTCCTCCCACCCCAGAACATGGCCCGGCTTGATGTATGCGATTCAGTGCATTGCAGGCTTGAACCGTGCCGGAACGCACAGGATATGCTGTGACAGGGACCTGAGGGTTTGTTTACACCATCTGCCGTTTGTCTCGTCATAGATGAGGACAGTCCATAATAGAAGTCATCAGAACTCGATGTGGTGTGCAAGAAGTAAAGCCCTTTTTACTGACGATTTAATAAAAAGGGCTTTTACTTTTTATTAAATTACTTTATATATATATATATCTCTAGATAGATAGATATAGATAGATAGATCTAGATAGATATAGATAGATATAGATAGATCTAGATAGATAGATATAGATAGATATAGATAGATATAGATAGATAGATATATACCTTTTTACTATTTGGAATTCAATAAAGCAAGTTTTGTCTCTTTGTTGAATACTTTTTCTTGGAAGGTTTCTTCTGCTGATTCTAATGTTCATCCTATGCTACCTCTGGACTTCTTTCCCTGTCCAACGAATGCTGACCATTCAGACCCAACACTGTTTCTGTATGGTGATCTCTTAATCCCAGATTTCACCAGCAGGTCGCAACTGCCATTGAGCACTGGTTACCACTGGATCAAATGCATACAGCTATGACCAAACTGGTACTGAAAATAATGTGGTCTTGGATGGCTCACATTTGTCCCTCATGCTTTTATCCAGGGTAATGGTAGTATTGATCAGAGTGGAGATCGAAGTGGTGTTCGTTTGGTTTTGCAGTCGTGGGCAGGCAGATGTCTCTTCAGTCGTCGTCCTCTTGGAGACATCTGTCCATCTGTGGACAGCCTAATGCTCGGTCTGCCCAGATAATCCACGTATTGACAGGTGGTCATACATGTTTTAGTTGTTT